TTAAAGACACAAGTTCAAATCCATGCAGAGAGTGAAACTCCTTCAATCAGTGCTCCTCCCCAGCACTGATGGCTAAGCAATGTAACGTGATCCTCTGCAGCAAGTGATGGCAAAGCGGGGCGTCATCACGACTTTACACTGTGCGTCTTTACCTCCGCGGCAGAGGCTCCGCCGAACCCCTGAGACCGACTCATCGAACCCAGGTTAAGAACCACTGCTTTAATTGAAAAGAGTAAAAATTTAATTACTAAGGGTTAGCTACAAGATTCACAAGTTCACTGTGAATGTTCACACTTGCTGCGGTTTAACCACTCAGACTACTCAGGAGACGATCAGTGGCATATCTGTTTTCATGAGTGTGTGTGGTATTTCTTTTCTCTCTTGTTTTTTGTTCATTTACTCATTTTCTGGTGCAAACAGATACAGTGACCACTCTTCATGCTCTCTGCACCACAGAGGTTCATATGGCTCCAGCATCTTCTTCAGCCTCTTACATAAACTCTGCAAAAAGCACACAAATACACACACACATAAATCACAGGATGGTTGCATGCCTTGATGCACCACTACATGGAATATAATTTATTATTTTATAGTACACATTCATTAAATGCTCATTGTCTTCAAATGTTTATTGCTGCAAATAAATGTTAATATTTAAGTTGCCAAAAGTTCCAACTCACCTCAGGATGCAACGTTTTTATCAACATTTCTGCTTAAATGTGATTTTGCATGTTCTGATTTGGTGTAAGGAATTGGTTATTTTTCTTTCACCTCTTCACTGTCTTCCTCATCATGATCACTGTGGAAATATGATGTGGCCTTGTCGTAGCCCAGCTCTGGAAGGTGAAAGGTGGTGCCATTGCAGTCTGGTGAGAGCAGCATGGGAACCTGCAGGTGGTCCGACTGGTCCAGAGACTGCTCCCTGCTGCTGGGGCTGGAGCATGACAGGAGAGACTCCATCTCCCCCGACTGGCTCCTCCGGTGCAGGCTGGGAGCTCTGCCGCTGCTCGTCCAGCTGGAGCGCCGGCTCTCCGGACTGCCATCCCACAGAGACTCCAGGGACAGAAGAACAACTTGGAAGACATTTCTCTCCACATTTTCATTCTACCCTACTTAGATTTCTGGATACTATAGGTGTTCGAAGGCTATACAGATAAATATTCAGATTATTTAGAAAAATTTCAGACCATCACTAGTTTTTTGTTTGTTTTTTTTTTGTAATTTGATTCCACAGAGCCAAACCTGCTGAAATATCTTAAATGACCTTTATCTATTGCTCAGATAGATAAATAAATAAATAAATATCAACTAGTTTTTACCTGGTGAGCAAAACATTTGGTTTTTATCACCTTTTGTCTTCATCACTGTTTCCTGGGTGCAATGAATTGATTTGAATTGATTTCTAATTTGAATGGGACAATGCATATTATTGAACATATAATATTGCTATAAATACGACGACATAAAAACATAATAATACAATAAAGAGGTTTGTTTTTATGTTTTTAAGTTTCAAGATCAAATCAAATACTCAAAATTGAAATAAACAACAGGACAGGATTAGATTAATTTTTTAATTTTTCAGGTTTATGTGACTAAAGAATTTTTGGGTAATGCAATGACACCTGCACTTATTCAACACATCCAAACCAAGATGAAATGGTGTAAACTATTTCATCTTGGTTTAGACCAAGCAAACTGCCTACTTTGATAGTGGTCAGGTTCATAACAAGATGTAAAATATCTGTCAGAAAGCATCAGCAGAAACTCCACAGATTCACTCAGTTCAGCAGTAATAAACTCATTTAATCCTTCTTCTAGTTGTGACATTGATGTAATAATATCAATGCATGGAAAAAGTCTGTATTTTCTCATTTCTCATTTATTCCTTCATGTGAAGGTGCATGATTATGTAACTCAGATATGAGCCAAGCTGCATACAGCTTGCTTCTGCTGTTTTTGTTTGTCAACATTGGTTAAAATAGGTGTACTTCGAAAATGAATTTAATAAATCACATGTAGAACAAATTAACACCAAAATTAGCCTTCATATCTTTGGGCCATTTAGACATTGCTTTGGTGAATTTTTAACAACAAAAAAAGCTCACATAGGGTATTTGTTGTGTGTGGCAGATTGATATCTGCAGTGTGTAATAGTACGTGAACGTGTCAGAAGTTTACTTAAGCAAACAAAGTAGATAAAAATCCATGTTAAAGTCATTTCTTGTATTTGAGTGATTAGCAGCCAGACTTTAGAAGGGCAGAAAACACAATGTTGTAAAGAGACTGAACTCTATGCAGTTTACTGTGACTCAGGATGGGTTCAGCCTTTATGTTTGCTCATGTTTCTGTGACCAGAAGAGCAAGAACTTGCAGCAAGAATTTAAGCTTTACTGGAAACAATTATATGAATTTAGAAAAAGGCATGTGCATGAACTCACCTGAGGCACAATCCATTAAAAGCGGTATTTAACTGAGGAGAACATTGCGTCCTTTCTTTCTTGAGGGTTTCGTGGTTCACTAAATCAACATTTGATGGTAATAAAAAACCAGCAACAAGACTTTGACTGGTTTCAAAATATTTACTTTGGCAAATGTTTCAAATGTCCCCAGACTTACAAATATAGCAGTTTTAGGGGAATAAAAGAAATTAAAATCTTGAATTATTTTTCTACAAACTCATTGCAGGATTTAAAAATGTATGTTAACATTAACAGAACTTTATTTGCTTTTTAAAAATTGACTTTCTCCTGTACAGTTTTAGTAAACCTGAACTGCTGTGTAAAAATATTAAAAATGATCTTGTCCAGCCTTACCAGCGATCTCTGCTCCAAACTGTTGACCTCCATGGAAACTCCACTTGGCCTGCGGGACTGGTTGGAGTTTATGGTGGGTGTGGCTGCAGTGTGTGTGATGATGGGCAGCGGAGGAGGAGTGGGGTGAGGCATGGAGGCTTTGGGGTTCAGGAGACCATTGGGGCTCAACATCATAGCCTGGATCTTAAGTTCTGCTTTCACAAAGGAGAAGAAACAAGGAAAATTATCATGAAAACATCCAAAAACTTGTTCACAGAGATATTAATTGTCCACATACATAAATCCACAAACCACACGGGTCACATCTCATGGATTAAATTTGATAACATCAAGACATTGATGTTATCAAGGTTGTTTATTCTAATTCTGGTTGTTTATTCTAATTCTGTAGTTTTAAGGCTATTGAAGTTTCCATTTTTTGTTTGTCAACATTATATATGTTGACCTGTGGAAAGAGACCATCCGCGGAGGGTGAGAAGGGAATTTTTTTTTTTTTTTTTATGTATACACAGAGCAGGGGCGCGGTAAAGGTGATGCCAATTCTAGGGGCCCTGACCAACAGGGAGCCCCCCACAATTTATTTATTTATTTATTGTTCATAGAAATTGAAAAAAAAATTGGGGCTCTGTCAATTACAAAATTAATCATATTGTATTTTCAAAGATTGTTTTTAGCAGTAAAAATTTAATGTTCCCACTCCCAGATCAAAAAACACACATCCATATTTGCCCTGAACTCCCTAATCTGAGTTAAATGGTTCATTCCTGCTTGGACGCTTCACTGTGACACTGTTAGCAGCAGATAGTAGGAAACAAGAACAACTGTGGCAGTTACTATGCTGCTAAGAA